CACCCCTTATTTGTTTCTGCATTTATTTACTTTTACACTTTCACTCTTAGGTATCTCTGTATAGTGTCTCAAATCTCTTTGGGGCACTTCTTTCAATTATTTAATCAACTAGACAAGTTCGTTTATATTATATACAAAATATAATCTAAAATTTCAAGAAGCTCCCAGGGAAACAGTCCACCATAACACGGTGTGACTTCCTGAAATAGAGGGCTGACTGAGCTACCCCTGGAGGAGGAGAGAGAGGGAGGCAGATGAGAAGGCTAGAGGAGGCCCCTGCTGAGCTTCATATACATGTTTATATGCATGGTACTGCCCTCTTAACAAAGGGGTTTCATGGTAAGTTCCATGAAGGCCTGGGTGGAGCCTTGTCCAATAGGGTGGCCCCAGTGTTGACTGTCATGGTGTTGTTACTCTGTAAGGTTAAACAGTCCTTGTATTGGGGGCGCCTGGGTGGTTCAGTCGTTAAGCGTCTGCCTTCGGCTCAGGTCATGATCCCAGGGTCCTGGGATCGAGCCCCGCATCGGGCTCCCTGCTCAGCGGGAAGCCTGCTTCTCCCTCTCCCACTCTGCCTGCTTGTGTTCCCTCTCTCACTGTCTCTCTCTGTCAAATAAATAAATAAAATCTTTAAAAAAAAAAAAACAAAAACAGTCCTTGTATTGAAGAAGTCATTCTTCTTGCTTTCAGGAATTTATGGACTCCTGATGTAATCTGTTTCCATTAGAAAGATTACTCATTCTTTCTAATGTTTTGTCCCTTCCTAAAAGATGTGCTCATGACCCTTGAGAGAAAAAAAGAAGTCCTTTCTGATGCCATTCTGAAAGTCAAGTCATTCCTGCTTCCCCACTGTCATCTGTGTCTTGCTTTGGTCTTCTCTTTCCTGAATCCTTGATTCAGGTTCCTTCTATCACTAAGGCCCAGCCAAGGGCCAATTCTTCTGTGCTCATCACCATAGATTCAGCTTCTTTCTTCCTTCATTTCTTTTTTATAAACTAATAATTTGTTAATATGCCTAACAAGATATACCTGTGACCATTTTGCAGGACTTTTTTTTAATTAAAAGAAGAGAAATCAGGAGAAAAAAAGCCCTGCTTTCCCCTTTCAAGACACTTCTCGCATATCACTGTTTGGTGCTCAACCTAGCATAACTTCTACTTTATATATTTGGGTTGCTAAAGAGCAGAGTCACTGTTATCTGTCTAATCGACATCATGATTTTCCTCTGAACTATTCTAATCTAGGCTTTGCCAGCAGATGGGCTTACACCTAAAATAAGACTAGCTTCTCGCCCACTGGTTTTTCTGTTTAAATTCTTTTTTAAAGGAAGATGAAAGCCTGGGGGTTGAAATTTTCACTTTTTCTGTGATTACTTTTTGCAGAAGTTTCCAGACTTGAGATTTGCAGCTGCAAAATTATGCACCTGCAAAGGCTGCTGTACCCAGTCCTGCTGTCCATGTCCCGTGTTTGCATAGGGTCTGGTGGTCCCAGGCACCCTGTGCCTCTCTCAGCACACCTGCTGATGATGATTCTAGACACCATTTTTTTCTTCAGGTGGGAGTCATACTCCTGCAATAAAGGCCTCTTTTTCGGACCATCCATGTCTTTCAGGTTGTGTGTACATTCCCCTTTCCTCCTAAGACTAATTTTCAGCAATAAGGCAACTGTTCTTGTATTAAAATTCCCTCCATATCAAATAAGAATACATTTGGAGTGCCAATACTTCTTGGACTGAGGAGATGAGAGTCCAAGACTCATTTTAGAGTGATAGTAGACAGTCAGTAGGGAAGGTGCGTTCGGTCAACTGCTGAATTGTTGTTTGGTTTCCCTGATGCAGATATGCAACTTTGGGGTCCAACTGAATTTCGCAGAACAATAAAAAAATGTTCAGAGCTGCCACCTTCTTAGCTCTTCCCCCAGGCAGCTCCTGGCCTTTATTCTAAATAAATGTTGATCAGATATTTTAACAGCACTGTTTAAAGAGGTGCCAAGTTATTAGTCTGTCCAGAGAACCCAGTGTCTTGGTTCCCTTCCTTGGTGGTAATGGATAGCTCAGAACTCATCACCTCCTAAAACTGACTTGTGTTGCTTTTTCCCTAATGCGTTCCCTTATGGTTGCCAGCATGCTGACTCATCAGTCACTTCTTTGACAACATGTATCCTCCTAAGGTCTTCTCAGGTTGTCCTTCTTCTGACTTGGCATTTTAATTCTGAGAAAAATTTCACTGTAAACACTCTCTTCCCAAACATGCTAAACAAAACTGAGCGGTGCACAATTTGGGGTCCCCCCATTTCACCTCCCCATTTGGAGAAGGGCCAATTTTCTCTGGGTGGAAATTCGTAAGCATATGGAATTCGTTACTAGAAGAGTTGGTTCAGGATGTTTCTGGTCCTTAAGCCAGTTCCCTAACCATGACAAAACATTCCCCACAATCTCATTGTGACTCACTTTTATTTTTAAATAACCTCTGGTGTGGAGCTTTGTCAAGGCTTTTCAAAAGGTTAAAGAAATTATTCCACATGCTTACTGACCCTCTCAGAGAATTTTAGTAGATTAAGCACATTCTCTCCTAACAGAAATCCCTGGCTATGTTTGCAAATATCCCATGACTGCCCTGTAATCCATGAACATGAATGTATCTAAATCTTCATGTGTGCTCATCATGATGCTCAGCCCTATGAGGGGATAGAAAGGATATGAAGACATAAAGGTATGAAGGCACAGTCTTTGGCATTAAACAGCTTACCGTTGAGTTAAAGAGGCTAAAAGAAAACACAGAATCACTGGTAAAAAAAAAAACAAGACATGTAAGTGTGGTGGTATTATGAAAAGAGTTCAGAAAGTGAAGAAACAAGGTCTTACGAGGAAGGCGGAAGAATCTTTACAGAGGAGAGAGCCCTTGAGTTGGGTCTTGAAAGCTGAGTAGGCTTTATAGAGATGGGCAAAAGGGGGAAAGGTGTGACATGGGCTTCCAGGCATTTCAGAAACAAAAGAAGGGGGAACAGCACGAGCAGAGACTTAGAGGTAGGATCATCTACTTAGAGTGGAGGAAACACGTGAAAGAGCCTGATGAGTTGAGAGAAACCAAATTAAGAAAGGCCTGGAGCACCCGTCTATAAGAGTTAAAACCTGATACATTAGGTGAGAGTTACTAACTGACCATAGTTAAGAACTTAATAGTGCAGAGAAAAGAAGGTATTTGGCAGTGGGAAACAGAAACAGTTTATTAAGGGGCTATCAAAGCAAGCCAAAATTGAGAACTAAAAAAAAATTTTTTATATATCAGAATAGTGTAAACATGAATAAAGACGGAAATGAAGGCACTCGAGGAGAAATGGAAGATGCAAGGAATGGAAATAATGGACATAAAGTTGTAAAGGAATTACTCCTGGTACCAAAATCTATGTTTGCTAGAGTGGTCATAGCAAAGTAGTACAAACCAGGGGGGGGGCTTACAATAGTGAATGTATTTTCTCACATCTCTGGTGGCTCAGAGTCCAAAAGTGCTGGCAGGGCCACACTCCCTCCCAAGGCTCTAACGAAGAATCCTTCCTTGCCTCTTCCAGCCTCTGGCGGCTGCTGCCTGCCTTGTGTTCCTTGGTTTGTGGCCACATCGCTCCAAACTCAGCCTCCATCCCAAGGGGACTTGCTGCCTGTTTCTCTGTGTCTGTGTCCTCATCTAGGCCGACACTAATCTAGTATGACTTCCTCTTAATTCGTTACATCTGCAAAGACCCTATTTCCAAATAAGGTCCCCTGCTGAGGTTCTACATGGCATGAATTTGGGAGGAACACCATTCAACCAGTGCACAGAGGGAAATCCAGAAAGCGTGTGGAGGGCCTAGTCTTACAGAACCTCAAGAAGAGGAAGGTGTAGCAGGCAGGAAACTTCTCTCTACCTTGTCTTTGTGGCTGGGCCTAAAAATTAAGCTGATAACGCAGGTTAACAGGAGAAAAGCACACAGATTATCTTTAATATTTGTACATGTACACAGGAGTCTTCCAGAAGAAAATAAAGACTCAAAGAAGCCATTAGGCCCAAAAGCTTACTGAACTATCAACTGTTGTTTTATATAAATCATTTTCACCTCATCCAGAGGATCTGATAACTTGGGGCAGAGGAGAGGGAGGAGGAAAATCCTCTTCTTTGACATCACTGATGCTGTCCAGCTCTTTGACTGTGAGTGAGGAGATGAGGGAGGTAAAGTCCTTGCCCAAGAACATGTTTTGTTCAAGCAGAGGGTGGGTGAGAACTGAGCCCATTCACGTCAGGGGCAGTGACCTTCCCTCCCACTATGCGAGAGCCAGGCTTGGTTTGGCATCTTCAGTCATCCTCAGTAAATGAGAACCATTTTCCACAGCTACTTTCACAACATTTTGGGAACATTCAGGCAGCTGTTGTTGGTATTATAAAGCCTTCCACAGCAGTAACAGACACCAGGTCTCCTGGTAGTGTTGAATAAATGCACTAGAATAGCTGGCTCACCCAAGTTTTCCTCATGATACATTTGAATATAAACTGTCTGGATCAGGTTGGCCCTACTGTTGGTTCCTGTTACTGAGACACAAGTGTAAAGCCACACCAAACAACTAGGTCTGTCTTGGATCCCCTTTGCCATCACAGTCTGTTGGACATCTTTCCAAGGACTCAAATTCAGTCACCCTGGAAGTTGTCAGAATCAAATGTAAAACCCCCATGAGTTGTGTTTTTTATTGCAGGTATGTGGCATATCAGTAAAAAGTTAGTGTTTATTTTTAATCTATGGATGAACTGTAAGCACTGAAGACAAATGGAAATCCACACGCCATTCAAGTGGAGCATCTAGATCTCTTGCACCACTTTGAGCAGACATTTAGTTCACCTTAAAAAAGATGCCACTTCCACTGCCTTTGGCCCCAGGTTTTTATGTTCAACTTTCCTGGTGTCTCTAGGGGGTTTTCTTTGTAGTTATTTTTTATATTAATAGGCTTTGATAAAAATATTTCTTTTCCGTTAATTCAGCGAATCCGGGACCCAAAGGAAAACCAGCAACAAAAGAAAAATGTACAGCTGATGTTGAGGTAAGTCCTAAAGATTTTGTATGGATGCATTTTGAGGGGGTGGGGAGGTGGTTCATTAATTCTGCCTTGAAGACAATATTGTTGTTGTTATTCGGTTCTTAAAAACTTGCCTATTCCATGGTGTAATTCCAATTTACTAGGAGTGGACCTTGTGCCTAGAGGTTAGAGCAAGAGACCACCTGGACTTGAAATCCTCCTGTGCCACTTGCTAACTCTGACCTTCAGCAAGCTAACCTTTTTGCACCTCTGTTTCCTTATCTGTAGATTCGGTGGTAACATCTAACTCATGGAATGTTGGCAAGGATTAAACTAAATGAGATAATTTAGATAATTCATCTAGCACAGCCATGCTTGGTACATCAAATTCACTCAAACACTCTTAATTTCATTATCATCATTCACATATTTTTTCATTATTATTCTCTGAGCTTTTTCTCCTGCCTTTAACTTATCTTAAAAAACCTGTATTTGCCCCAAAGTAATTTTTATGGCAATCCCAGCATATAGTATGACTAGTAAATAATAGGGTATTAGTCAAAAAGCAAGTCCTTCATGTACCTTCATTTGGTGAGTAGAACATCACATTTATTCAATGGCTATTTATAGAATTTTTATTAGGTGCACAGCGATATCTCTGTATGTCCCAACTTAATATACCTTTTCCCCACTTTCAGCTCATTTCTTTTTAAAAGAATGCCACGTTATCTAAAGAACTACTTCTGAAGGCATAGTGTAATATTGATGTAGTAAGTATATGACTGTCACACTTGTTTGACCTCAAATGTCTTTCTCAGTGCGGGTTGGTGAGAATGGGCATCAAGAGCCTAGGAACCTGATATTAGTCACGTAACAAATAGACTACTCCTGTGATTGCAGGCAAGTCATTTCACCTTGCTGGACATTGATTTCTTGGATCATGAAAAGACAGTCTTCAAATAGCCTGATGATTTGTAATTGTTCCGGTGAACTGGACTCATGAGTGGATCTCATGATATCATCCGTCCCTCTCTAGAAACATAAGCATACAAATACATAATTAACATTCAATTTTAAAAGGTCCCTGGCCCTCAGTGAAGCCCACCTGGGAACCTCGGAGGGCCATGGGTCACAGGTGCAGCATCCCTCGGCTGGAACAAGGCTTTCTGTTCTCCTATTTTGAAATTTTAAACCACACCATTAACACAAGGCCTCTACTCAGAAATAACAGGATTGAAGTCTCTTCCTAGATAACATGGCATTCCCCACCTCCAGATAACTGATCTTCCACCACTTTCTTTAATGGCAGCTTTTGCCCAAATATGCTGATAGGAATCCAGTATCTCGGGGAAAACATTTGCAATTAGAACCCCTGGGCAGATCTTGAGTAATCACTTGACATTAATTCCTTGGAAACTAATTAAGAGACTTGCCCTAAGCACCACAGCTTTCCAGTAATTACCATGAGGAAAAATTGTGCTCATGTTCTTGGGCCTCAATCTTTCAATCCAACTATTTCCCCCAGAAGTATCTGGCACGTCTTCCTATGTGAAGACAAAAGCCGAGGGAAAAGTGAAAAGTCTTGCTGACCACCAACTATTTCAAAGTGGGATAGGAAAGGTAGTGGGTAAAGAACAGAAGGTGTCCAAGAGACCAGACAACAAAGCAGAATATTCATATTTTTAAAATGATGTTATTGCAGATGATCCTTTTTTCACGGACCAATCCAATGGACTTCAGAGATCAGAATGATCCAACCTCTCACACACCACACATGTTCTCTCTCTCACATCACACACACACACACACACACACACACGATTGACAATACCTGGACTCAAGCCAAAGCCCCGGGGTAAGAAAATAGCATAGGCAGAATTCTAAGATGGTCCCCAATGACACTTGCCCTTATATAATCTCCTCCCCTCAAGTGTGGGCAGAATCTGAATGTAATGATACATCACTTCCATGATTATGTTACACTAATATGGCAAAAGGTATTTGGCAGATGTAATTAAGTTCCCAAATCAGTTGAGTTTAAGAGAGGGAGATTATCCAGGTGGGCATGACCTGACCACGTAAGACCTTTAAATCGGGGTCTAGAGATCAAAGATAGAAAAACCAGAAATTTGAAGTGCCAGAAGGATTTGATGTAATTTGATTGCTGGCTTGAAGGCAGGGAATGTGGGTTGCTTATAGAACCTGAGAGCAGCCCCTAGCTGACAAGCAAAAAAAAAAGGGGGGGGGGGCGATCTGAGTCCTATACACGCAAGGAACTGAGTTCTGCCAACAAGAATGAGTTTGGAGGTGGATTTTCCTCCAGAGTCTCCAGGTGAGAACCCAGTCCAGACAATGCCTTGATTTCAGTCTTGTGATACCCTGAGCAGAGAATCCAGTCATGCTATGAAGGAGTGCTGACCTACAGAACTCTGAGATAATTAATGGGTATTGTTTTAAGCTGCTAAACTTATTATTCATTATACAGCAACAGAAAACTAATGCAGGAAAAAAGTAGAAAGATGTTTGTATCTCTTAATAATTTATAATGATCAGGCACATGGAAAAGAAGATTTTTCTTCTACCTCTTAAAAGCAAAATTCATCCACCCTCAGGCTGTGCTCGATTTGCCTAAGCAATCAAATAGGGCTATTTTATACTCTCAACAAATATTTATTGAGTTTCAGGTGATATTTAGGAACTGCATATAGAGGTATGAGCAAAATTATTAGGATTTCAGTTTTTAATATTTTAAACCAGTGCAGACCATGAGAGAAGCAGAAGTGCAGGATTTCAGGTGACTTGGTTTAACATCCATGTCAATATCATAGTGTACATCTGCTTACACTTTAATACACATATATACATATAATTTATTTTTATAGTATTTTTTATAATTTATTGGCTATGTGTGTGTGTGTGTTTTTAAAGAGTTTATTTATTTTTTGACAGAGACACAGCGAGAGAGGGAACACAAGCAGGGGGAGTGGGAGAGGGAGAAGGAGGCTTCCCGAGGAGCAGGGAGCCCGATGCGAGGCTTGATCCCAGGACTCTGAGATCATGACCTGAGCCAAAGGCAGACACTTAACAACTGGGGCACCCAGGCGCCCCTATGTGTGTGTTTCATAACTTTCATTTGATTACATGCAGCATCTCACAAATAATAGGATTTTTAACGTGGTGCTCTACTACATCAGTTGAACAAACTTTCAATTTTATACTAAATCTTGAGGTTATTTGGGGGTAAATATGTTTATTCATGAAATATTTTTGAGCATGTACTGTGTCAGACCCACTCTTAGGCCTTAAATATGTGAGGATTAAAAAGAAAAATTGTGACTTGAGCTCATAGTCTGCAGAGACCAATACACAACAATCATACATATATTTTTATTATACATATGTAAGTATACATTTATACAGATTTCACCTCCCATTCAAAAGTAGAGCATTCCTATGAAACTTTTAGTAAGCAGAAATGGCACAAAGTAGAGTATCCTCTGCTTTCTGAAAGTTTGCTCTTAAGCCACTCAGCTTTATGACAGACCTACATTAGTACCTGTTTTCACTAACCAAAACAAAGAGGATTGTCAGTTTCAGGAAAAAAGCCTTTATCAGGCTAATGTAGGTCTTCCGTAAAAGGGAAGTGGCATATGGCAAACTTTCTCAGAAAGCGGGGCATACCTACCTATGTATATATGGACATATATATATATATATATATATATATATATATATATACACACACACACACACACACACACACACACACACATTTATGACTGTAAGCCCCTTCTCTATAGGATTCTCTTTTTCTATTTAAAGACAAACTCTGCGCCCTCTGGAATAGTGCTTTTGCATCGCAAATAACATTTAAAGACAATTACCAGAGTTTAGGGAGACGGGGGGGGGGGGGCGGGGGGATGCATTACAGGAGACTCAGGCTGAAATCCTAATTCTAGGGCCGTGGGGGCTCCCCAGGGTAGCAACGGCGACAGCCAATGGCAGCCGGTCTGCTGCCTGTGTCTAGCCAATAGCTGACTTCCCCACCCGCCCTCTGCAGGCTGGCGATTGGAGGAACATTGTATCACATGGTTGGATACCGAGACCATCTGCCGGAAAAAGCGCCGGCAGCTGGGGGTTGGGAATCGAGCTGTGGGGGTGGCGGGAACAGCCTCAGAGCCGCTGCCTCTGAGGACCTTTTTAGTCGGGCTTCGAAGACAGGCCACAGACCGCCGAGTCGGGACAGCCTCTCTAGGACCACCACAAGATGGGATCCCCTGCTCCTTGGCACGTATGCTATGCCTATTTACTCCCTCCGTCCTTTTAGTTAAACAGAATCATTTTCTTGTTTCATCTCAGATGTTTGGGGATTATTAGGTTTGTCCACTTTGCAGAGGAAAAGTGAGTGCACTTGGCCTACAGGGTGGAGAATGTGTGACCTTGTAAAAACCTTGACACCTGGGAGGGGGTCAGAGTTGGGAGTCCTGTGGTCTGCAGAGTTGGGTTGAGAGAAATTCAACGTGCGAACGTCAGGAGGGAGCCAGAGATTGTTTTTTACTGGAAAAAAAGAAAAAAAAAGTGGGACTATGGCACAGAGACTAACTTGCGGGATTTACCAAAGTTTGTGTCTCAGTATTACCAATTCAGTGAATGACCAAGGGGTCCGTTTTTTAGTTCATCAAAAACTTATTTTGTGTCCAGATGTTATAGTAAATCATTTTTCATAAATGGTTGCAACAGCCTTTAAGGGTGTTTCTCACCCTTTAGGTTTTTTTCTTTAGTAGAGGCAACTTGAAGTTCACAAGAATTTTCTCATTCCCCAAATCATAAATCCAGAGTACCTAAAGTACAAAAACTTTAGCTGGTAACTAAAAAAGAAGTTAAATGACTTGGGTGAGATTAACTGCAAACTAAAGGAAAACTTTATTTATATATGGTTTTAAATTGTTCTACCTTTTTGTTCTCGGTATTCCTCCCAAGTGCTACCAATAACATTTACCTTTCTTTTTGGCAACCCAGGTTTGAA